AGCTAATGTAATTTCATTCCTAATTCCGTCTCTAATGTCATTAGTAACGGAAAAAAATAGATTTAGGGATGAAAAAACCTCGTTACAAAAATGATATTTTCTTGTAGTGCGTGCCAGCGATAACCGTTGACTTTACCTGTTGGAGTTTACTTTTTGGCATTGACTATTGACTTTTGTGTCATTGGCTATTTTCGCTTTTGAAGTCATTTTTTCACTTTTTTGAGGTCAAAGTTTGGCTGTCATACCAGTTTTCAAGCATTTGTATAAATAATAAACACCTTATAAATATTCATTTAAATAAATAATACTTACTAAATAATATTAATTTAACCAAAATTAAATACTTAAATAACACATAAATAATGCCAAAAACATAATTTAAAGAAGCACATAAAATAATTTAATTTATACACCAAAATAATTATGAAATAAACTTAAAAACTAATAAATTAATATTTTACACACAAGATAAAATAAACACAATTATTGGAATAAATTAACATAAATAATACCAAAACTTGACATATATAAATTAATTAAATAAACATATACTTTAAAATATGGAAAAATCAAGAGTTAAAACTGATGAGATTAACTTTTTAAGGATCCAACTGACGATGATTTAGAATTTTACAAAGAAATTAAAAGAAATTGAAATAAGTAAAAGAGTTAATTATTATTATTATTATTATTATTATTATGTTTAAGTAATTTTAATTTTATATTATTTATATATTTAAATGTATTAATAAATTTTATATTTTTTTTAGAAGTGTAAAAGATATTTAAGATCGTACTCTCTACTAGATTTGTAAGTCTTGTAATTTTTATGTATTAAGCTGATTAAAATATTTTAATATGTGGTAATAAAAAAATTTAGCATTGTTGATAGGTGTGTCCGTGTGGGCGGTGACCATGATAGAAGGAAGTAGTTTGGATCAATTGAAACAACCGGAGCCAGAATGGTAGTATGGATTATGGAATGGAGTTGGTGCTAATTCTGTTTTATGATAGAATGTGTGTTGGTGAATGTTGTTGTGTGTCGTAAACTAATTTTGTTTTAAGAGAATGTGTGCTTACTGTTGATGTTGTGTTTGTTACTTTAACGATTATCTTTGAATGCTTCTTAATTGTGTTTTAAGATATAGTGTTGTGTGCTTCCGTTTTTAGAACAATACATATATATATATTCTTTGTTGCCTATTGTAAACTGATTTTGATTTTAGAGAATGTTTGTTGTTGGCTTGATGTTCTTGAGTTGTGTGTATGATATTATTTGATAATTATCCTTGTTTGATTGTTAATTGTGTTTTAAAATATAGTGTTGTTGTATCATCTAATTGTTCTTATGTTGTATGTCCACTAATTTTATTTTAGGATTTTGTGTTTTTGTATTTACAAACAAATTTCAATATAAACGGTATATACCGATAGCGTACCAAAATTTTAGAATTTGGTACAATCGGTATATACCGGTACCATACCGAAATGTTCGGTATACCAAAATTTTGTATACCGAAATTTTTGGTACAATATATGGTATAATTCAATAAATTCGGTACAATATGGTATATCATCCCTACTCTTTTCTTCATTAATACTTTCAGTCTTAGGATAAGAGCTTCATATTTAGCTTAATTGTGTGTCATTGCCTCCAGTTACAAAAAACATATTAATGTTCTGTTCATTGGGGCTTTCAAGAAGCACTCTAGCACCTGAACTTATCTTGTTAATTAATCTATCGAAAAACATCATCCAAGGTCTAACTCCCACAAAATCTTCTAATATGGTTTTGCTCGAATGTTCTTCCAAGAAATCAGTCACAACTTGTCCTTTGATAGTTTTGATTATTTGAAAGTAAAAGAAAATGGTGTTAGATTGATTGCCCTCTTTATTAATCTACCTTGCATGTTTAGTCTTTGCAAGATAAGCTTGACCACATCAATTTGGGCTATGACTTCTATATTTTTGGGCAAAATGTAATGCTCTAACTTGATACAAATGTACACCAAAGAGTATAATATCTTTTCAGGCATAGTATAGTTTAATTCAGGGTCAACCAACATCTTACTAAGATAATAGATTGCTCGTTCTTTTCTATCATCTCAGTCTTGTGCTTAGAGACAACTAATCACATCATAGGCGTTGGGCAAGTACAACTTCAAAAGCTTATTTTTTTTTGGTGGTTTCATCAAGATTTCTTTGATTAAATCCAATGTCTTATGTTGTTCTTCACCTTAGTCTTGTTGTTTTGCTTTCAACAATCGAATAATAGGTTTCAATTTTTTCAGCTGTATTTGTAATGAATTTTCTTGAGTAGTTCATTTTACCCAGCATACTTTGTATATCCTTGGTATATTTTGGTGGTTGAATTTATATTATAGCTTTGGCTTTGTTAACATTTATTTCAATACCATGTTGATGGGCCAGAAAGTTTAAGAAATTTTCAGTTAAGACCCCAAATGCACACTTGGTGGGGTTCATCTTCAAGTTGTATTTTCTCATTCGGATGAAAGCTTGTTCTAATACGGTTAAATGTGTATGAAAGTCTGTTGAATTGACAATGATATCATCAATATACACCTTCATACTACGAACGATTTGATCATGAAAGAAAACATTCATGACCTTTTGGTATGTGATTTAAATATTATAAAGCCCGAATGACATTAAAGTCCATTCGTAAATACCTAAAGCACCAGGAGATGCGAATTCATCATCCAGGCTCATTCTTGATAACTGTCCATTAAGGTTCATTCTTCTCAAACCCACCGAGGTAAGCAAATTTGGCCCAAAAAAGTCTCGTCGGCCCAAACTTCTGTCATTTGGAAATGCAATTTTGAGTTCACTAATTTTCGAAACCCTATCAGATGGACTATTATCCTTAATGCCTATCATGATTTCATCTTCATCTAGTAATTCCAAATCCTAATCATTAATATCCAAAAGATTATCCAACATATCTATTTTGAAGTTTCTTCTATGCAACTTGCAATCGCTTTTGTTAAGGTCTGCATCTTAAAAGGCAAGAAGAACCAAATCTAAAATGGGGTCTTTATGAGCTCCTCGCTCTTGAAGATGTGGGTCCATATTGAGTTTATTGCAATAATTGCAGTGGTAACATTCAGCCTTGGTGTAGATGACTTTCTTTTTCTATTCCATCGGCTATTTTTTAAAGACCGCACCCTTTCTTCTTGCTTATTTTCCTCCTACTTCATCTTCAGACCATTGGTATTTTTGGTTCCCAATTGATGCTTTGACTAGTGTTCCTTGACCCAATTTTTTTTAACCAAAATTTTTATCTGAACTTATCCGACTGATGAGGTATTGTATAGTTCTGTGAATATTTTTTTCCTTCTCAAATTGCATATTGTCTCTTTGCATTTTTGATTTATTTATGATTCATCCCTGAAATTGAGAGTCTATATTGATAGATAAATAACTCCTATTTGCATTCCATTGCTCATCCTTGCTACTACGTGGTGAGGTTTGTCTATGAAACTTTTGTGCACTACTACTTCATCCTTGACCTCTAATTGATAAGTACCATCGGTCTTATCCCATTTTTTGGCCACAAAGGTTGGGTACACTTTGTACTTTGGGTCTTCTTCCTTTGTTTTGCCTTTATTCTATCTGATCTTATGCTTGCTTCTTTGTGCATCAATTGAGTTGACATAGAGACTCTTTCCATTTTGTGGTTCTTATTCTAAACTTCAACCTTTAATTGGGATGAAATGGTTGTTGTAGCTATCTTTGGGAAGGGTTGTTTTCAACTCCCAATGTAACATACTTTAAATGCCCACTTTTTATGACCTTCTGAAATTTTTTTTTTCGAAAGTACATGCATCGATTTATTGTATAAGTGAAATAATTATGCCACTTGCAATAAAATTTGTCCTTAATGTCTGCTTTCAAAGCCAACCTCTGCCCTTTGAGGATTCGAATATGTCAATCAGCCAATAAAACATAAAAAAATGATGGTTGATCTTGATTTCCTTCACTTTCAAGAGTTGGCTTCAACTTAGGGCAAACATAAGGTTCCCCTTTCAAAATCGTGGCCATCATTTTTTCTATTCGTTTATGTTGTCCGTTATTGAATAACAAGACTCAAAATCTATGTTGGCCATCCGTTGTGTTTCACTTTTGCAGAGTGATTGATCTTTCTCTCAAAAAAGGTTTTTCCAATCTTCTTAACTTTGATGTTAATTGGATCAAATTAGAGCTATTATGCACAGTCAACTACTCTCTTAATCGTGCATGCATGTTTCGGACCACTAAATTTGTCATTTCACCTTCTTTGATAAATATAGAACTTCGTCGCTTTAAATGTCTGATTCTTTTAATAAACTATTTGGTCTTTTCTTCAAGCATCTGCTTCATGTCGAGTAAATCTGTCAACGAGACCGTTGGTGTAGGATTGTAGAACTGGGTATGGAAAGCACTATATATATTTTCCTAAGTTTGAAATTTTCTTGATTGTAATCCTGCAAACCATGAGAGTTATTTTAGTTAGGGAAAGCTCGAATAATTGTAACTTATGAATTGTATCTCAAATCTTCCAACTAGGTTATAAATCGACTGACATGTCTGATTTGGAGGCTTTTTTTTTTTTTTCTAAGAACGTATAAAAATCGAGTGGCGAAAATTCTTTGAAAGTGAGTTATCAATCACCACCCTTGTTGAGAATGACCTTTGATAACTTGGCCAATTGGGTATTTGCGGGTTCATTCCAAATGAACCCTCAAGACCTAAGCTACATCATTTGGAGTAACTCTAACGGGCAAATATTGTTTGTTTACTCAAGGTTGTTGGCTCTATAATCTGCCATTTTTTCCTGCGTGTATATTGGAAAAGAATTCACATGTCTTTGACCCAGTTGAATATTGTTTGGGTATGTAGGAGGTGTCTTTCCTTTATTTATCCTACTGGTTACAAGAATTTTAGTCCCGAATAAATTCCAAGCAAACAAATTACATTCAAAGAAAAAAAAAAAAATGATAAATCAATTCAAGCTCACAACTCTGTAAACAAATCTATGAAATGGTTTCAAGCCATTTAATATATATATATATATATTTTCTTTACTTTGTTTTTGCCTTCCGGTTAGTAACACTATGCTGAAAAAACTCAATAAAAGCTTTGCCAAGAATACCTGGCTGTGTATAAGAATCCGTATAGCATCAAGAACACCATTTGTATCCAAGTGTGTATACTGACTTTCCAGTTCCAATGCAGTCCACCGACTGCCTTGCCCGCGCATCATGTCAATGATTTAAGCAATGGCGAATGTGACAGTCTCTTCTTCTTTGGGACGCCATGTCGTTTTCTGGGCACACAACAGGCCTTCCTTGTCCTTGGAGTAGGTCATCAGAATGTCCCAGTGTAGAGACTTGAATACTTTCTCAAGTTCAGTGATGGTCTCAGCTGTGTCCCGGACTATTATTTTTCCTTCTGGTCTCAATATTCGATCTGCCTCTGCTACCAAAGCTAAGAAATTGCACCTGGTGGATGTAAACAGCAGTTAGAATCAGAGTACAATGTTGTGTATATAATAAACCAATGAATGGGATAAACGCACTTCTTTTTTATCATAGAAAACAGATGATCTGCATGGAGGAGATCGTAGGTTCTTGGGTACGTGCTGAATGATTCACACCAATCGTGGTAAATGCCAAACAGACCACGCTCGTATATTATTGGCAGTGTATCGGGATCATCTATTGATACAATGTTCAGAACCCACAAGTTTAGTTCTCTCAGAGCAGCAGCAAAACTGCAAATTCAGAGCCATTGATCAGTACATAGTGAAAACAAAATATACCATATTTTTGAAACTTTCGTGCAACATATTGGATGAACATCCAGCAAAACATAAACGCCATTTTCCCCATACGAAATTACAAAACATTCAAAAACATCCCTATAAAACGATTTTCTAAACATGTCAAAAAAGTAAAACGTACAGAACACCAAAAAGAAAGAAAAGAAAAGAAATCCTCTGTTAGATGATAAATTTGAGCTTTTTGCCTTTGGCGGGATGTTTTCTATAATTTCATAACACATAATGTCACAGGGCTAATTTGCAATTTAACCTTTCTTACCCTCCATAAACAGCTCGCATGTCCATGACATTCCGCACAGTGGACCAATTTATTCCCAGTTCATCCATATATGACTTGCTCACTACACGCTTCCAATGTTTGTTATCAGCCGCAAAATCTTCTGGTGCCGGTTTTCCATAGGCTCCAACTTGGGAACTCAACAACCAGTAAGGTACTTTGTCCACCCGGGCAGGCCACTGCTCTGGCCATTGAGTCCCACGCTCAGTAGCAGAAATAGGCATTTTGTGCAGGCATGCTTGTAAAGCTACATTCCTAAATCCACACACACATATATATATATATATATCCAGATAAAAGTCACAAAGTAGTTTATAGAGTTTGTGATCAATATTGAAACCTATTCTTAGACCAGGCAAGAGAAAGAAAAGCATACCAGGCAGCATTCGGATCATCAGAATTAGGACACAGTGGAGGATCATTCCGGGGTCTTTGTTCATAGCAATTGTTTGAGGTGGGTTTTTTATATATGGCAATGCCTACACCATTGACTGAGTCATTGGTAATCGAAACAACTTCCCAGCACATTGTTTTTGTCAGTGTGTCCATGGCTGTTAATATAAGCAGGAAACAAACACATTAGAGCCCAGAAACTATAAAGTGTAAAGAATATAACAATAAATTACTATTCACCAAATCCCACCCCCCCCCCCCCCAAACCCAAGCATATATAATTAACCACCTATTTTTCATTTTGTACATTATACTAAAAATCAATTTTAATTTCAAAACATTGCATCAACAACTATTTATATCACATATTATTCAAATCCCAAATCCAAAATCCAAAACCCCCAAACAAATGTACCTTCCCAAATCTCGACATCTTGAGGAAGTTTCTGATATATGGGAGTTGCCGACCAAATGAAGAAGCCGCCGGGCCTTAATAAACGGTTAAGCTCTAAAAGTAGTTTGCCACCTAAAACAACAACAATCATGAGCATGCAATGAAAATTGAATCGATTAATAGAAATCACATCATAATCAAAAGTTGTTAATTGAATAGTTCACAAATCACTAATACCTTCAATATGCCAAGGCACCCGACAACGAGCGCAATGAACAATATCAAAAACTCTACCGGGATAAGGAAGTCTCTTTGTACCCATGACAGCAGATATAGCTGGAATTCCTCTTTCAAGTGCAAATTGGACTTGAGCTTCATGTTCATCTTTCGGTGCTAATGACATAGTCAGTACATCTCTGTCAAAGAGAAAGCCCCCAAAGCTAGCAACCCCACAACCAACATCCAAAACAACTCGAGATCGGTTCCCCCATGCGATTTGAGGCACGGACTATACGAAAATGAAAGCCGACAATTTAATTCTCTAGCTGGAAACTCGGCTTCATGACTCAAGTCTAAAACGTTGTTTGATAACCTCTAGCAAAGAGGAGTAGCATAAAAAGGAATTTTTACACCATAGCCACAATCTAAAACAATATTCCCTATATATATAGTATAGTTTGACACTTATGATATAGTCAATGAAGTAAGATCAATAGCATCACATTTACCTGTTGAATAACATCAATGTAATGAAGAGCACCATTCTTAAATTGTGTGCCACCACCAGGGAAGATAAGATACTCGCCGCTAACTTTAACCCAATTTTGGTGTCCTTTAACTTTTGCTAGCTTAGTGTGGGGAACATTACTGTACCAAATCTGTTGAACAAGGTAGGTGCCCAAGAAAAAGGTCATAAAACAGATAATTTGATGACAAAGGAAAGTCGTAAACAAGGTGGCGTACCTTTTCTCGGCTTGTCGGCCATTTCATTGGTCGTCGATAACCATCAGGCAGTGGAACAAGGCAAGTTGGAGGATTGACTGGGCAGTGCCTCTCCCTATGCTCATAGTGCTTGGTAGAAGGAAGTTTATGTATCACTGCCCAGTTGTCAAGACAGGGAATGTAATCCGGTCCAGCACTAGTGTTGCAAAGCTTCCAACTAAAACCCTTTTGTTTCTCTAACTCGGAAGACTTTTGGGATTCATTTTCTTCCTCAGACTCTTTTGCTTGAGTCTTGAATGCTCCATTTTGAGTTGTGGGTTCATTCAAAAGTTCTGTTTGAGCTCCAGAAGGAAATACTTCACTGGAATTGTCCTTTGTCTTAGAGGAATCGAGATCTGATTCTCCATCTTTCTTTGTTTTGTCTTTATCACCTAAACTTTCATTAGATTTTTCCTCACTTCGATCAGGGTTCTTTTCATTGGTTTCTCCAGGTTCGGAGTCATTTGCAGCCTCAGATTCTCCATTCTTCTCCTCCCCCTTTGCTTCATCTTTTTTTTCATCCTCAGACTTCTCGGAAGGTTTGTCCTCTGACTTTTCTGAATCTTCAGTCTTATCATTGTTTCCCTCCTGATTCGAGTCCATATCAGTGTCCCCTTTGGTGGCATCCTCTGGTAAATCACCTTGGTTATCCTCAAACTGCTTCTTGTTTCCATCATCAGCTCCATCACTGCTCTCATTACTACTAAGATCATTGCTCTTCTCAACTTGTTCTGGAACCTCATTTTTGTTCTCCTGCACAATATCTGGATTCTGACCCGGGACAAAAGACGACGATGTCATCATCCAAATTCCTACTATGCAAAGGGCTAGAAACACCACAATGCTCACAGTCCAACAATAGCCCAACGATGTTTTCCTACCATTAACTCTAGAATATTTTCCCAATGCCATGATCTCAACTGTGTCTTGTCCCTTGGCGACTGCTTAGTATTACACCTACAACATAAATAACATTTTTCGATCAGATCCACACCCGGATTATTTCATTGTAGCAAAGGTCCGCATCTTTGCAGCAGCAGCAGACACCAACAAACTGAACATTCAAATTGTTAGGTCTGATTATAATTATGCTAGTAGCTAGACATAATTTTAAAAAAATAAAAAATAAAAAATGAAGGGTAAATAAGGCCTCCTTAATGATTGTAACTTCAATTATCATATTTTATCTGTTGAGTATAAAATCAGTAAAAACTCTTATACCAACATGACCAAATTCATGATAAATGAAAACATAAAATAGATTTAGCCAGACATGAAGAAACAGAGATTCCATTAAGTTTACTTCTGTTTTTCTGCACTATTTATATATCTCTTAAATTCAAGACCTAATTACCTGTTCAACACCTCTTAGATCATCACATCATACGTATCTTTTCTATTCAATTTTTTATTATTAACAAAACAGCCCAGGACTACAAAATATTTGAAAAATATATCTGAGCAAGCAGGGAATTACTACTGGCAATAATACTCATGTATATTAATAGAATCACCGGCAATGAAGGTACATCCACACACACACACACATATATATGCATATTTATAGAATTACGGGAATTATCACTCATCTAAGATACCACAAAAAATCTCTCGTTGTCCCCCAGATTGGTGCAGATAAACAAATCACAGCAAAAGCAGAACGAACTCAAAATCCTAGATCTACCATATATACCACAGAATCAATACAAGAACACCACAGCCTTTACCACGCCAACTTACAAGCACGAAAACAGAGCAAAAGAAAAACCCACAACTCAAATCGCAATACGAATGCAGGAATCTAACCAAGCATTACAAGCTTAGCCAAAAAAAAAAAGGAACAGATCAGCTTTTTCATCGATCCATCATAGATTGACAGGATTTGGAGATTATGAAACAAAGCACAAACTCGATTCAGAAAAACCATAAATTTTTAACCTGCGCCCAAGTGCCTACGGATCAGTCCCCCTTGCAACAAATTTCCCTCAAACACAAAGATGACCCAGAATTCCAAAACGACTCGCAATTCTTTCTTGAGCTACTTAAACTGCCATTTGTTGTAGAAGGGGACAAATCTCGGCGAACTCATTCAGCCATTTAAAAAATTTTGAGGGATGGATGATCAGTAGTGTTGACAGAGGACATTCTCAGTGGAGATATTTGACCTCTATCAATATTTATTAATATTCTAAATATATCATTAATTTAATTTAAAGGTGGGACCTTTGAATTTAGCTGTATGAAAAGAGACTGGTGTCGGTCAAGTAGGAGTGAGAAGTTTAGAAGATCTGGAGCAGGAGCAGCCCAGCTCAGCTCAGGCGAGCCCAACCCAGCGAAGCCGGATTCAATACCAGTCGACCCGGCTTTATTAGACATGTATCGGCTGAGGTTGGAATGACTAGCGGTGTAGGGACGAGTAGGGATGGCAATGGGGAATCTAGTTGGATCCAAGATTCGATAATAATAAATAAATAAATTTAATATAATTTATATTGTTAAAAATTATTCTTTTATATATATATATATATACTTGTTACATTATTAATATATTATTCGGATCTGAATTCGGGTCCGAATCAAATCCATCGTTAAATTCGAGATCCAATCCGAATCCGACAATTGTACATAATATTCGACTCATACCCCACTCGATACTCAAATAATTGGATATAAATAGGTCGGATTTGGATCAGATCTCGAGTTATCCGAACCCATTGTTATCCGTAAAGACTAGTAGAAAATAAATTATTAGACTTCTCAAATGAGTGGCTAAAAATTTGAATTCGAACTCGAGCTTGCAAGAAAAAATATATTCAACTCATACCCGACTCGATACTCAAATAACTGGATATAAATAGATCGATTTGGATCAGATCTCAAGTCTATCCGAACCCATTATCATCCCTAGAGACTAGTAGAAAATAAATTATTAGACTTATCAAATAAGAGGCTAAAAATTTTAATTCGAACTCGTGCTTGCAAGAAAAAAATATAATTACACACCTTTAGAACTTTGTTAGAAATTTGGGAAAACACTATACTTGGGGGCATCCTCTGATTTTAAACAACACCACAACTCAATACAAAATAATTGGATTGGATAAAGGATTTCAACTCGATTATGTATATGAGTTGACACGAACCCGACACGATAATAAACGGGTCGGATTAGTGTTGAGGCTCTCAACTCGAATTCGACACGATAACCCGAGTATAATGTATTAATATTAGTTAATATATTTATTATATATGTAAATTAATTATAATTTAAATATTAGTATACATATTAATTTAAACTATATTTAATTTTAAATAATTCAACATAATTTATTAAACACGACAACATGAAAAAAAAATAATTGAATTTGAATCAAAGATTTAGACTTCCGATACGATAATAAACGGATCAACACGAACCCGACACGATAATAAACGAGTCGGGTTAGGGTTGAATTATTTAACCTGTTTAAAATCTTCAACTCGACACGAATCGATCCATTGTCAGCTCTAATGTATGCATAGAACTCGATTTATACATACGCACAAGTATGTATATACACCCGTTGTGTGTAGGGGGATAAAGCCCAACATTCGGAACAAATGATTCAATGGACGATACTTGGGGCTTTGGAATTTAAATTTGAAAGTTAAAAAAAAAAAAAAATTCTTCCAAAATTAAAAATAAAACTCATTATATAAAGTATCTCATTATAATTCTCTCTCTTTCTCTTTCTTTTCTCCCTCTCTCCTTTTTTTTTTTTCTTTTTTTTAAGGGAGTATTGGATAAAAATTCAACGGTGATTTTTAAGAAATATATTCAATTTTGACCACTATGGAAAAGTAATTAGTTGGGAAAAAAGTATATTATTCATTGAAATTATTAAGACGTCACACTTAGGAGTAGTAATCGGTGCACTATGTTGCATTTAATTAGGTGTTCTTGTAATTGAAGAGTGAAGATTTATGATAAAGGAAACTTGCTCAACCCCTATGTTATTAAGAAGGTGGTGCGAGTGAGGGTTTGTCATTTGGGTACCAGACAGTGAATCTCCGTTCGATTTAGGGTTGGATATCGATGTCGCACATCTGGGCGGGAGAAGGCGCCTGCAACTTCTCTCTGGCATAAACCGTCACTGGAAGATGAGGGATTGTTTGATGCCGGCGCTGGATTGGTCCAAAAAATTGGCGATATCTGGTTCGAACTTGGGTATTACTCAGACTCTGACGATGATCGCAATTCTGAGCATACCTCGTCCCTATTCCGGCTGTCTCGACAAATACATCCTTGTCGTGGACGTTGGTGAGATCTAAACAAACTTTTACTTGCATTCCATTCATTGTGATGTCGGGTGGCTAATGAGTATATTGCAATTCATGCCATATTTAGTAACTGTGGCTTGAAAATGCATTTATATCACGTTTTGGTGGATGTTACTGATTTAGCTGGTTGAAAATGGTTTACTGTGCACCATAATTTGTTTTCATCGAACTTTGGGTGCTATACCATTTTGTCTCGCCTAAAAATTTCCGATGTTATTGTTGGCTTCAAAATGGCATCCACGATTACATATACTCATATAAATTGTTTTCACTCGACAACTCAAGTTGTAATCAATGAATTTGAGTTAACAGTTTGAAAACAAATATTTCGTATACAAAAATATATTTCATAAAAATGTTTACACTTTAAACCTGTTACTAAGTATTCTCACAGGTTTAGACAAGCATAAACACTTACAAAAAGACTTTCTTACATCAATTCATAGTACTAATAACCTAGATCGGGGTATTCGCAATTTCCGTCCCTATATTTAACTGTCTTTTCAATTTGTGTCCCTATAACATCAATTTCATAAAAAATGTCCCTTTTTTTTGCTAATCTGCGCAAAATCTAGTCTAAACGGTAATTAGAAGAATATTAAGAGTAATTGAAGAACGCCGTTGACGGAGTAGGCACGTGCCACCCACGTGACCGTGCATTAGATCGAACCGGTTCTCATTAGACCCGGTTCTACACCGAACCGGTTCGGTTCAATCCTGAATCTGTTCGAACCCGGTTCGGTTCGAACCGCTCCATATCTTCTCCAGACCGATCTCATTCCCCCATTTCTTAGTCCAGTCACGAGAAGCCCTAGGTCCTTCGAGCATCGCCATCCCATTTTCCCACCGATACTCCACCCATATTTACAATTGCAAAACCCTAATTCCCATCAATCATTGCCATCCCTAGTCGAGCTGGATTGAAGGTGGAGTTAGTTCAGGAGTTCGTTTGTTCAATTCCGTCGTGGAGGCGTAGATTCCAGTGTGTGGTTGACAATGGCGCATAGAAGCAAGCAAGCTCTTGATTTCACCCCCAATTACAGTAAGTTGAAAGCCCTTAATTTGAAATATGCTTATGGTTTACGTATTGTAATTTTTTCAGTCTGTGTTAGGATTGTGGTTAATTTATTTGATGCCATCTATGAAAGGCTTTAATTTCAATAAAATGAGGTGAAAAAAAAAGAGATTATATTGTGCTAGAAATTGAATTATGTCCAGTAAATAACATTGTGGTTACGTGTTGATTTATGTTCTTTTGTTCTACTAGTTTGAATGAATATACTACTTATGTTAAACACTTAGCATTACTGAAATGTAGGGGCGATGTTCAATGAAGATTCCTCTGCTACTTTGAAAATTTATTTTGGTGGGGTGATAAGGCATAAGCCTCGTAGGGAATATTTAAGGGGAGAACATGATTATTTTGATTTTGTTGATATGGATAAATTAAGTGTGTTGGAAATGTGGGGATATGCAGAGGAATTAGGATATAAAGAAGCGAATAGTGTTAGATTTTGGTTGAAGTACGGTAACAACTTCGATAGACAATGCAAGTGTTTGGAAAGTGATAAGGTTATATTGTGGATGACAAAACATATTCCGGATAATTATGAACTCGAAATCTACTTAGAACATCTAGATATCGGGCTTAGCCAAGATCCTCAATCCAATCTAATTAGTGGAATAGAAGATTTAGGTGGTGAAGTTCCTCGGGCTAGTGATTGCGTAGAAGCTGAAATGGAAGAAAATGATTCTGATTTTGATGACTCAGATAATGAAGTTGAGTTAGAGAGTGGGGTACTCGGGGTTGAAATTGAAGGTAGGATGAAAGAAAAATCTATTATGGATGATTCCATAGTTGCTAAAGATGTTTTGAACACTTTACAAAAAGAGGATGGTGAGACAGATGTCATGGGCAGTGATAGTAAGTTAAATAGTGAGATGGAAAGTGATGGAAGTGAAAAGAAGGGGACAAACCAGTGTGAAATATATAATTCAAACACTGGTGGTGAAAATTCAGAGCTTAAATTGGGGTTGTTGTTTAAGTCGAGGGCTGAGGCTAAGTTTGCCATTGAAAGCCATTGTTTTAGGAGGGGGATGAGTGTGAAATTTCCAAAGATTGACAAGAGTAGGTTGAGAGCCAAATGCAAGAAACAGGGGTGTGGGTGGTTCGTGCTCGTGTCCAAGGTGCAGGGTGATGAAACATGGCAGTTGCGTAGCATGAATGAAGTTCATAGCAAATGTGGATGGACTTATGACAACACAAGTATTAAGTCTCCCTGGATTGGAAAGACATTTATGAAAAAACTGAAGGAGAATCCGAAGTTGGATCTTGGTGGTTTTAGGGATGAAATATGTAGAACATTGAGGTGTAAGGTCTCGATGTCGAAGGCATATAGAGCTAGGAGGAAAGCTTTAGACTTGTTGCACGGGTCTAATGTGGAGCAGTATGGCTTGTTGTGGGATTACTGTAATGAGATTAAGAGATGTAATCCAGACACTTCTCTGTCTTTGAAACTTGTAGATGATGAAAAGTCTGGATTACAACGGTTTCAAAGGATATATGTTTGTCTTTTTGCATGCAAGAGAGGCTTCCTTGAAGGCTGTAGGCCAGTGGTAGGTGTGGATGGCTGTTGGCTTAAGGATAGCTTTGGAGGGCAGTTGTTAAGTGCTGTGGGTATTGATGCGAACAACAATATTTTTCCTATACCATACGCTGTGGTTGAGGTTGAGAACAAAGATAGTTGGCTGTAGTTCTTAGAGTGGTTAAAGAGGGATTTGGATATTGAAGATGGACATAATTGGATGTTCATGAGTGATAAGCAGAAGGGACTG